TTATGTGATGAAACGCTTAATGATTACAATGCTTGCATTACAAATTTATACATCAGAGGCAACATCAAATTGCGTGAGTCGAAGTCGGATGGATGAACAAAGTAAAGAACAAAAGGTTAGAATTTTTTTACTAGGCTAATAAACTTCCTGTCTCCTTTTTCGGATTCTCAGAGTCGAATCTCATTACCTGTTGACATGCTGCCCCACATGATCCTGAGTGATATAACTTCAGTTGAATTTGAGCTGAGCAACCAAACAAGGCTAAAAATTGCGAACACGAATGTCAACACTGTTTTTTCTTGAGAGCTTGCAAAGCGATTGTTTTTGGGTTACACAATTTTAAGATTGTGGTTTTAGTTTGCTATGTTTAAAATACTGTTTGATAGCATCTATGATGGTCAAAATGATGTTGAAGCCAACAAAGGATGTGTTTGACTTTCCCTGTTTCGGTACATCAGTTTCACAGGAGTTTTAAAACACTCACAACATATCCATAGAACTAAAGAGAAGTGTAGTATCATTCCTTTACCTATCTATAACTCTAGCTAATATCAACGAAATTAGACAAGATTGCCGCAAAATGGGTTCAATTTTGACACTGCAGTGTTCTTGTGAATTTCAGCCTCTAAAAACTTGTAGATTTTTGAAGGTATCACTTCTACCTTTGCCTTTTGCTAGGGTTAGAGTTTCTACGATACCACTATCAGAATGTGCAAAATTTCCGGGAATTCCGCGAAATTCCAGAAATTTCGCGAAATCAACGCGAATCACGCAAACTACGCAACGCCATAACTTCCTTCGGAATAAATATATTCTAAATCAGGAAGCAGCATTGTGTTCAGCTCGTCAAGACGAATCTTTCCGTATGCAGCATGTCCTCAATATTCCTTTTCCAGTTTTCTCAAATTCTTCTGCGGAGGTTTTTTCGCAAGGATGTAACGCAGCGCCTATTCAACGTAAAAGATGCTTGTAAGCATTATTCGGTGGTACTCATTCGGTGGGTTACAGAGCGCTAAAAAGTAACCGCAGACTTTTTCCAAAAGAGACTAACTGGCTTACCCGGCTCCGCCCGGCTCTGTCAGAAACGAAAAAGGTTTCATTCGTATCCCTGTACAACCTTTCCCTGTGCCCACTTCTGCATGCAATTCCCTATTTATTAGTAATCAGATGCTCACCTACCTCCCTCCCAACCCCCAGCCCCGTATCTCAAACTTTGCAAAAAAATCAATAAAATCGATAAGCGTAAGGATAATTCTAAAAACTGATGGCGCTATTCGGCTATCCGAGCCCCAAAATGTTTTTGTGACGGATCTTGCTTAAACTCGGTATATGGGGTTATTTGAGCCGCTGTTGACAAATATCGTAGTCATTTCACGTGGCAGCAGGTAGAAATCATGAACCTGCTTGAAACCTTGGCAGAGAATTACCTAAAGTGCTGTTTCAAGAAAGCTCAAGATAAAGGCAATTCATGTGGTATGGAAGTTTCCCACGACCGTAATGCTTTCTTTATAGGACCACTGCCGCGCGCGATACACCCTTCGGCGGCTTTTGCCTAAAAAAACAGGGGAGGGAGATTTGGCGCGTGCGTTACGCGTTGAAGAACAGGTTATCAGGATGGCGCTGGAGACCGTCATGCAGAGCGACCGTTTCCCCATTTCGTAAATATCTGGGATCTAAATCGGCCCAAAAGCGAAAAAGTGCCCATTCAAACCCTGCAACTCACCATAACTTCACTAATGCGTTATGACAGCGAGAAAGCATCATATTCATAAGCAGTATACTTATGAACCGTTGCAGGTAAGGTTTTAAGCAAATCTGAAACTTCGACCCATCCACACCCACAACCAAAGAAAACGCACTATCCTGCGAAATCAGCATGATATTCGTGTCCAGCGCGCTAAATGACCACCCTAGACGAAGTTTAAAGCAACTCCATGTTTTCGATTCCATACCGTATAATCACCGTAATTCTATGTGTTGTGGAACGCGTTGAGCCGTTGACGATTTATTAGAAAAACACAAAGATTCCCCTTATACACATAGGCGTATATGCCGCGGGCTTACTAGGATCAATGCAACAACAACACGTAAACATAATCAAGGTGCGGCGGGTACGCCGCAGCCGCCTAGGTCACCTCAGCCTTAGCTATCAATAATGAGCGAGTTCTAGTTCACACTGAACAGCTCTACAACACTATGAAAAGGTCCCAATATGCAGAGAGAGAGATGATATTTGTGATTAGCATGTCGAATAAATTCTCTCCACTGAACTCCAGCCGAATTCATGATTTTGACTTCCTACCGTACAGCTATAGTAAGCACACGGGTAGACGTTCTGCGGAGAAGGTGTGATATCTGTAATCAGCATGTAAGATAACCCTTACAAACGAAGTTTGAGCAAGCTCTACGACAAAAAATTTTGGGGCCCAGATAACCGAAAAGCGCTAAACTTATATTGCGCTCGTAATCAGCATGCTCGATTACCCCCTTGTGCTAACTCTCAGCCCCGTAGCTCAAACTTTGCAAAAAATCGATAAAATCGACAAAAGTAATGGATAACTCCAAAAACTAATATTGTATTCGTAATCAGCATGCTCGATTACCCCCCTGTGGCAACTCCCAGCCCCGTAGGTGATCTGCAAAAGTCGATAAAAATCGATAAAAGTAATCGAAAATTCTGAAAACTAATATTGTATTCGGAATCCCCATGCTTACTTACCCCCTATGCTAACTCCCAGCCCCGTAGGTTAACTCTGCAAAAAATCGATAAAATCGATATAGATCAACGACGAAAAGTATCAGCGTGTTGTGCAACCACTCGCGGTTTGATTTCGACGAAGTATGCGATCTTTACATTCTGGGCAAGATTCATGAGAACTGTTCGTAACTCGGCGATTTTCATAGACTGGAGCCTGAGACAAACACCGTTCAATATCACGGTTCCTAGTAATTTTAGCACATAAAAGCAAGCAGTCAAGTTTTCTGAAAGATACGCGAGAAGTGCAGGCAGATTTACAAATTATCGTGACTCAGTTACAATTACCTAGCCATATCTCTGCAAAAGACCCTTTAATCCCCCAAAGACTATGATTTTCGTAAACAGAGTGTTCGAAAACCTCTATAAGCGAAGTTTCCCAATGGAAGATCATCAACATTTTGGCCAAAATCCACCGGCATTTAGAGCGTAAAACGAGAAAAAAATGAAATAAGCCGAACATCCCGGAAAACTTGTTCATAGAGGTTATCCGACGACCTGCTGATTACGAAAATCACATCCGCTCAGAAAAAGAGCATCATATTCCGGGGTTATGGTGAGTGAAATTGGAAACGACATGATTTTTTCAAAATACATCAGCCCTTCTAATTCCCTTGGAAAAAAAGCCTGCGGTATAATCTACAAAAGAAGTACTATCGAAATTTCCTTGCTTGAATCTACTAGGGGCAATGCGCGCTGCTCCACACCTTTGCGAATACCCGTCCGCAGTAAGATTGCAGGGTACTAGAACTGAAATTTCAAGGACACGCTGTGAATGGGAAACTCACTTGGAAAATCTGAGCACAATGCTTCTTTCCGATTCAGAATATGTTTATTCCAAAGGAAGTTACGGCGAGTAGAATTTAGAAACGCGTAATTTTTTCAGAATTCACCAGCGCTTTTATCCCTTTTGAAAAAAAGTCGGCGGTTACTCCTTAGCGCTCCGTAATCTACAGAAGGAGTCTATCGAATGATGCTTACAAGCATCTTAAGTTGGATAGGCGGTGCATCCTTGCGAAAGGACCTCCGCAGAAGAATTTGAGAAAACTGGAAAAGGAATATCGAGGACATGCTGCAAACGGAAAAATTCGTCTTGACGAGCTGAACACAATGCTGCTTCCTGATTTAGAATATATTTATTCCAAAAGTCATGGCGTTGCGTAGTTTGCGTGATTCGCGTTGATTTCGCGAATTTCCTGGAATTTCGCGGAATTCCCGAAATTTCGCGGCGGGAATGTCGTGGACTTTCGCGGTCCCCGGATTCCGCGGAATTCCCGGAAATTTTGCACATTCTGAGAGTGGTGTAGTATTGTGAATGTACCTTGAGGTAAAGATATCAAGTTTGATGAATACGGATTTATCGCTGATAGGGCTACCTTCAGATAGAATTGACCTCAAGGTATCATCCATTCCACATGAAATAATTTTCAAGGTTGATTTACCTTGAGCATTTACCTCAAAGTGCATTGATGAATATGGGTTTTGAGTGATAACCCTACCTTGAGGTAGGATCTACCTCAAGGTAGCAATGATGAATACGACCACAGACTGAAGATTGCAAACATTGGAAAAGGCTAATAAGAGTAGTAGAGTAGATAGGACAATTCCGGATAGTGCACGTTTAAAGATTTTTTTCACTGTTTTTTGCTGGAATGCCAAGATTGTATTGAAATGATATTGAAAGAGTAGCAGAAGTTATACAAGGGAACAAAGCAAGAATAAAAAAATTACAGAGCAAGACTTTGCCAGTAAGCGTAGACTTTCTCTTTTTTTCTGGCTTTCCTGTTTCAGAACTGGGGCGCAAACTGATCGCATAAAATCAGCTAATGCTGCAGTTGAATAAACAAGGGACCCTGCTCTCCTTTTCGTACCTATGCTTGTCATGTGAAAGCGCTCGGGCTGAGAAGATTTGTTTAGGGAGGACGGCAGCGCACGCACCGACCGACTTCCTTTTTTTCAAGCAGTGTTGGAAATCCGAATTTGCGCAGTAGTTCTAGGATGCTACTTAATGGCGAAAAATATTCAGACTGGTTAGGGCGCTACCTTTAAGCGCTCGAAACCTTCGCGCGGGCTTGCTATTGTAGAGCACCCAAGTTCAGTTGTTTTAAAATTTTTTGAAAATAATGCAATAAACGTGGACCTGGAGCTTGCGTAATCGATTACGTCACGCATTCACTTACGTTTACAATATTTGTATGTTGTAAACATAAGTGAATGTAGAACATTTGTATAGTAAGATAATTGATCACCTATTTATCAAATTTTTGTAGACGAAAGAAATATACTTAGTAATAACTACTGAGTTTGTCACTTGTCGTGAGAAAAACCTGCCGTAAATGACGATAAATATAACGAGCATGGCTATGGGAATAACAACTTCATACGTTGACTGCACATCAGGAAGAAGCTGATTAACGTATACTTTAGCTGGCTAAAATCAATAGTAAACCAATAGGTGATAACTGTAGAGATTAGCTACCTATCAAATATCCTTACTTACCACGATACTTCTAAAAACTGAAACTACAAATCCAATAATGCATACTGATCCCATCACTCCGACTCGTCTCGACCAACGGTGGCTACTGTAGCATAAATCACGAGTTATAGCAGCGGCCACCATAATCGGAGCTAAAATCGACAGCGCAATTGTGAGCAAAATAGCAGATGAGTTTTTTTTCGCAGACATTTCCCTTTCTTTTCATAAAACATGTGCACTACATAACATCCATATACCATGAACTCGAGTATGCGAATTCCTAAGTGTTTTTGCTGCGCTTTCGCTAATGATATGTGAACTTCTGCCGGATTATCTATTCCAAAAGCTATTCAAAATTCTTACCGAAGAAAGGCGTTATTTTCGTGATTAAATATGCAAATGTGAACACCACCACCCAGAAGGTGTTGTTGGTCTTTGTTATAACAGCTTCGGTTACCATGCCGATGACGAATATATTGGCTGTAAGTGTTGAATAACGTATTCTGATAGAAGGAAACATTGTTTTTTACGATTTCTTCGTGGTGAGAACGTTCTTTGATATGAGTTATCAGCCAAAGTTCCACAGATACTGAGTGTTGCCAGCAAGCTCAAAAAGCTAGTAGCAATATTGCTGAATACCATGATTGTGGCAAGCTGCAATCACTGTTTTCAGTCACTATCACTAAAGCTATTCCACAGTACCCGGTATGAATTTTTGGATTTGCTTCTGAACGAGGCTGCTGACATCACTCCGCAGACTGCTAAGCCTCCGCTGTTGAAAGCCAAACGCACTGCTCGCGCATAAGTCTATGAATGTTTTGGAAACGATAAACATGATTAGGTGTGCGTTTTCATGATATTACTTTTAATATGAGCAAAGACTCTGGCGTGCTGGCAGACCATAAAATGCTTGTCACAGTGCCAAATTCGGTCAGTGTAACAAATGCCACAACACTTGATATAAAACTGACCGCAAACATTACATCTGCAATTCAAAGGCAGTGTCCGGGCAAAAAGTCTATAATGAGATTTTATGCTTACCCGGGCCTACTCGCTATGCTGAATCCGAAAATGCGCATTGGAGAGCGCGAAAACGGCGAGAACGAGCTCTTACACAGGAGGAAAGCCAGCAGGTAAGCGGGGTCTTCCCCACTATGGATGCACGCGCCCAGCTTCCGGAGCGATCCGAGTCTCAGTCACGCGTTCGCACTTAACCGGTGGCGATGTCAGGGCGGCTAGCGGGATCAAGAAGATCGTTCCGAAAGCTGGGAGCGTGGATCCAAGTGAGGAAGACATCGCCCACCTCTGATTTACTTCTTGTTAGAGCCCTTTTTCGCCGTTTTCGCGCTCTCCAGTGTTGATTTTCGCATTCAGCAAGCCGGGGTAAGTACAAAATCCCAAAATCGCCTTTTTGCCCGGACACTGCCTTTAAGTATGAGAAGTGAAATGTTGGTATAATTGAAAAAAGTGTACTGGCGTCCCACCGCGATTCAATACTTTATGCTTGAAAGTTGCGCAGTTATAGTTGCTAAATTGATTATTACTATGCTATTGCCGTTTATAGCTTGCGTTTACAAGGAGTCTTATTTAAATCCAGGTTGAAGTTCTTGAACCTTTAGGGCAGAGTTACCAGTGGTTTTATATACTAATCTTTGACGAACCTAAGACGTTTATACTGATTCGCAAGTTCCTGAACAGTTCCAGCACGGCGCTCGAACTGAAGGCTGTGCTGGAACTGTTCTGGATCTTACGGATCAGTATGAACCCATCCTTATAAACGATAAAGTGATGATTAGGCTGTACAATTTGTCAACGCTCTCTCTTCCACAGCAACTATGCATCTGCAGCGCTCCGCATCGCGCAGCGATCTCCTATCCCCGCGGTACATGATTGCACAAGCTCGTTTGCGAATGCGGCAGGGGCTCTAGCGTTGCATTTGAGGTGAACGGAAAGATACAGTGTTGACACAAACCGCAAGGAATACAAAAATCGACAATTCAGGGAAGGTTTCGATATCGGCTTTGTTCGTGATTACGACATTCAATTACCTCCCCCCCCCCCCATCAAGTTTTTCTGCACTCATATATAGACCTACAATGGTTGCCTGAAACAGAGTCCATTCCTACCCAAGACTCTCTGTTATGATTAAAGATCTGAAGAGATCGGGGTGGAGAATTATATGTCGATAAAAGAGAGGTCCCAACGGATTTTGCAACAGAGCCAGGCGCGAGTCGAATAGACGTTAGTGAGCACATTGCTTATATCCTGAATTAGCAAACTCAGGGAGCACCTGTGCATGTGTTACCCAATCACAAACCTATTAAGGGCCGCATGCATTATATCCCCACCGGAAAGGAAAAGAAAGCTTCATATCCTAAAGCTCCGGTATCTGATTTCATGCTGTCTACCTAACTGTAAGCATTCCTACCATCCTCCACTCTGAACATATCAAACGAGAGCGAGAAGCTGTACAAGCCGCATATTCTGGCTTTTTGTATGATTTCCTGATAATCCCCAGCGGTCGACAGTCTTTTTTAAGTCATTTTTCTTTCTTCAAAGTTAACGATAACATTTCAAAGTTGTGCCGATCATCTAACCCAGCAGTGCTAACAAGGGAATGGTCAGAACTCGAAGTGGCCAATCCATACAAGCTGCATACCACTAGATGAGCATAAAACGTTGACTCCAAATCTGTCTTCCTTATCTGAGAGCGCTTTTGTGGACGTAATTATAACCCGTTGAAGGTCATTATTTGCTAAGAAATTGTGCGTGTAAAGTGCAAACTTGGTCGTACAAAGCCATTCTCGGCCCAGTGCTGGACTAAAACATGCAACTAGGTCACTTCATGTGACCCGTACCTAAAGGTAAGCTAAAAGAGCATAAACGTACTTAATTTCGCAATTTTTGTATGCGACTTTTTCGCAGTAAAGCTGCTCATAACTTCGCTTACAAGGCGCTCTACAGATATGGAAAACAGATTTGAAATTAGCATTTTATGCTGCATCGAATGGTATGGATTGGCCACTTCGACTTCTGACCATTCCCTTGTAAGCATGCTGCTGATAAGAACAAACGATGTTTTGGAGCCATGAAATTTGCGATCGAAAATGCGCGAAAACCCCGATAACCCTCGTTCCGGAAAACCCGCAGGCCGGCTTTCCGGAACGGTGATTGGATGGGCGCACACAAATGGGCGGGCGTGGATGGGGGTTCGTGCATCTTCGCTCCGAAGCGATTTTCTCGCTTCCGAAGCTGCAATTTGCGCCGCGACTTGGGCATTGGATTGATAAGGGGCCCGACTATAATATGTTGCCAAAAGCTCAACACCCCCTAGGGTGGACAGTGCCTTTAACATCGCCACAAAAACCCCACACCCATCTTTTTGCCGGGACACTGCCTTTAAGCTGCATCCCCCCCCAGTGGGAACGTTAGTGCATGCGGCCTTATGGGCATCATCCACCATAAGTTGAGGGTGTTGAGCTTTTGGAAGCATATAAATATTAGGGCCCGTCATAAATCCAATGCCCAAGTCGCGGCGCAAAATGCCGTTTCGGAAGCTAGAAAATCGCTTCGGAATAGCAAAGATGCACGAGGACCCCCATCCATGCCCTCCCTCCCACAGCCATGCCCGCCCATTTGCGCGCGCCCGTCCAATCACTGTTCTGGAAAGCCGGCATGTGGGTCCTCCGCAACGGGGATTGTCGGGATTTTTGAGCATTCTGGACTTCATATTTTGAATCAGGGACATGAGAAGGCCCTGAAACGACAAAACGTGGAAGTCGAACATCTGGGCGGACGGTGCCCTTAAAGGCAGTGTCCGGGCAAAAACTCGATCTTGAGATATTTTGCTTACCCCGGCCCATTCGCTACGCTGAATGCGCACACATTGGAGAGCGCGAAAACGGCAAAAAACGGCTCCAAAACGGGAGAAAAATCAGCAGGTGGGCGGGGTCCTCCCCACTGTGAATTCACGCTCCCAGCTTCCAAAGCGATCTTCTCGGTTCCGATTTCAAGTCCTGCATCCGCACCTGGCCGGTGGGATCTCAGGGCGCTAGAGGAATTGGGAAGGTCGCTCCAGAAGCTGGGACTGCGAAATTCACAGTGGAGAGGACCCCGCCCACTTGCTGCTTCCCTCCTGCGCTGGAGCCTTTTTTCGCCGTTTTCTCGCTTTCCAATGTGGATTTTCGGATTCAGCATGGCGAATAGGCCCGTATAAGCAAAATCTCAAAATCTTGACTTTTTGCCCAGACACTGCCTTTAAAGGCATGGAGCAGCAGAATGGACCCTGTCAGTAGCTTCAGGTAGCATACTCCTCAAGTACACAGTAGCCCCAATCCCACCCTCCAATTCATGCGCTAAGTCCTGTGAAGAAGCTGCGAAACTCCACTCCCCGCCCACTAACATTGACTGGGCGTTATTGGTGGAAATTTCGAAGCTTCTTTTCGGGACTTAGCACATGATTTGGAGGGTGAGGTTGGGGCTACGGTGTACTTGGGAGGCCCACAAAAGGGGGTCCATTCTGCCGATCCACTGCCTTCAGGTAGCAGAATCCACTGATTTCGTTGATGAATAGGGCCATTGGAAGTGCCTTTAGAGCCGTTTCAATCAGAATCTGGTCATTTTTCGGATTCCTGAGTTTAGAAGTGAAATTGAAACTCAGCACATGCATATCAGCTGAGTCATGATTTGAACACTGATTACTACAGAATTATGTTGCAAAAGCTTACAAATTACAGCGATTAGTCGACGAACATCTGTTACTCTAAGGAGACAAAGAATTGCAAACATGCAGAAGAGTGGCAAATAAATCCAAAGCCGCTGTAAAAAAATTACATCTTGGAAATACGATGGAATTTTCGTTTGTACAGATTACATGATTCTAAGTAAGGGTTGTTTCAGACTGCCGCACTGACTGCAGCAGTCTGAAACAACCCTTACAGACTGCAGCAGACTGCAGCTGACTGCAGCTGACCGCACTGACCGCACCTGTCGCAGCCTCGTTTCTTAAAAGGAAACAACCGCGATCACCAAAACAGCGTGTTACGCATAAGAAGATCATAAGTTCCATCAGAATTCTTCTCAATCAAATTTTGGCGATAGTTTCCTTTGGTATGTTCATATTTGTTCTAATTCCTCCTATCACTGCATATACCTGTTTTGTAACATTCTAAACCGTGTTGTCTTTTGCTTTTACGTATATATTGTTGTTGTTTGTTTAAACCACAACTATTTATCCTCTCCGCCTGCATGCTACAGCCGCTGCGGTCGTTGCGGTCAGTGCGGTCAGCTGCAGTCTGCTGGAGACTGCTGCAGTCTGCTGCAGTCAGTGCAGTCAGCTGCAGTCTGCTGCAGTCTGCTGCAGTCTGCTGCAGTCTGCTGCAGTCTGCTGCAGTCAGTGCAGTCAGCTGCAGTCTGCTGCAGTCTGCTGCAGTCAGTGCAGTCAGCTGCAGTCTGCTGCGGTCACTGCAGACTGCTGCAGTCAGTGCGGCAGTATGAAACAACCCTAAGAATAACTGTGTTGGAATGCGAAAAACTCGCCTGCACATAAATATTCCTACTGTTGCCTTCCCTGATGAATCTAAAAAGTTGCAGTCATGATTTGGAAAGGTGTGTATATCGGTGCAACTCAAGCTCACTTGAGGTAGATTTCCGATACTGAGTCAAAGAAGCGTGACCTAAAAGAATAAAGTATAGCCGATTCCGAAGTCGACACATCCTTTTCGAATACGAAGCATAGTTCAGAGATGGTAGTATAGCGCCCCTGTAATGCCTGTGGCTGTCTGCGCACAAACACCCTGCTTCGTCAAGCCTTTAATTTGAATGCGTGAACTGGCACATTTCTACTATGGTCCGTTGCCTCAATATGGCGTGGGAGTGGCCCTTGGTATGGAACTGGGTGTATGTCGAAAAACGAGCATTCTAACAGTCGCCATAGCCATGGATTCATATTTCACTGAAGAAAGGCTTTTGAAGTGGAGAAGTCTTGTCAACATGTCAAAAAGTGTAGTAAAGGATCACATGGTTTCAGATAGAATAAAATAAATGTAAACTTTACTTCTGCTTTAGTTAGTGAAAGCCGATCATTACGCGCCTTTCGAAGGTCTTCAGTCGAGCAGTGTGAGCCGAGTGTAAACTTTGGTAGGGCCTGTGAAGAATTTTGACTTTCCAATTTCGGCTGGAAGCTTAACCTTTGATTCAATTGGCTTGGGGGCCGAAAGGCGGGGCTTTGTGCCCTAATTTAGGCCATTCGCGCCCGCGACGCAGACTGCGTTTTTCCCGCGGCATACTCTCTGATCATTACCTAGCTTTAATTGGGTCACGAAGCCCTACTTACTGTAGTAACAACATCGACGTCAGGTTGATGTGAGCGCTAGAATGACAAAAACAACACGTTTATGACGACACGCCATGAAGACTGTATCATGCTCTGCGCTTACGGCTGGACATAGCGACCTCCACGTCTTCTACCGAAAGGGCAAATCAAACTACCACTCATTGTTCTGTGGGAAACGATAAGGAAGAAATGCGAAAGATGAGTGATGGGACCCTTCAATGAGCGGTCATTCGTGACGAGAAAGTTTTATCACGGCGTTATAGGCGTTGGCTTGGCATCCACTATTATATCGTCCATCTCGTCTGTTCGCATGAGATCCTACCTCATCGGCTGGCATTTGCACGACTAGGCCTCCACGTCAAAAACCATCAGCATCATCGATTGTTACTCCCCATCATTAGCAGCTGACGGATCAGATCTAGATGCTTTTTTCGAAGGCGTGGAGATTGTCCGCAAGAACGAGTAGTTTTATAAGCTTATTTTGAGGGGATTTTACGCGAAAATCGAAAAGCTAGAAGGCGATTAAGGATTGGGAAGTTCGGATAGGGGCACTGAAACAAAAACGGCAGTTGTCTCGTTGAGAATTCTTCTCGGAAACTCTATCTGAACAAGGAAAGAACATCGTCGATAAACATGGGAGTCTCCCAACGGAAGACTCACGCAGAAATCTACCTTATTTTCGCCGAGCAAAGGCGAAGCCTGCTCGATGTTCCAGTAGTTGCTCCTTCTGCAGTGAATTTAATCACTCTTCTTTGGAGCGAAGATACGATTCAGTCTAAAGCTGGAAAAGAGGTCTGTCATAGTGCCACAAGAAGGAAGGAGATCGGTTATGGCGGTAACAGGTTGCAAAAGCTGATATCAAATTGTGACTAGCCTATAAAGGAGAAACTAACGTGCGAACGGCTTTTGAAAAAATTGCGAGCCTACGGAGAGTGTGCCTAAGTGACTTCTGAGTAAAATCTGGGACGTATTTTGAAGACCACCAAAAAAATTTGAAAGAAGATTCTTGAGTTAAGAGCTTTGCAGGAGGATATCAGGAAGTGAAGGCAAGCCAAGATACTGGAATCAGCCGAAGGAAGACGAAGTCTTGAGAGGTGTCGAAGAGCTCTGCGAATATCATGTGCCGTTGGTCGCATTATTGAACAAAGACGGGATTCCGACTTCTTCTCTATATAAGATAAAATCTTTTGAGAATTTCTACATTAACTTCCGCTCATCAACGCCGCTGATACCCTTGCTCTTACTGGATAAGTACTACCACAATAGCTACCTAAATGCGCATCGAGATTTAGGCCATGGATACGTCCGCGGTTTCAAAACTAGATCATATCTCTGTCAAACTTCTGCGAGCCGGAGGACGACGTCTACACGAGAATCTCGCATCGTATCTTACATCTACCTTTATAAGGAAAAAAACTCTCGACTAGTGAGCACTCTGAGAACCGCCCTTCTCATTAGAAGGGTGAACGGAAAGATCTTCAAAATTACCGTCCATTATGCTGCCGTTTACTTTACAGGCTTTTCTCGAAGATTATCGTAGCTCGATGTTTGAGACAATGCGAAATCTACTCAAGCACAAGCTGGATTTTGCAAAAGATTCAGCTATAGACATCCAGACGATTTCGAGGATTGTAGAAGTCGGCTGGAAATACCGACTGCCTCTCGTCCTGGACTTCGTCGGCTACGATGAAGCCTTTGGCAGCGTTGAAACCAACGCTGTCCTGTCAGTCAGCGCTACTCGATCAAAAGTAGACGAGCTTACGTGAGGACATTAGCCCACTGCTACAGGGAACAACAACGACAATACAGCTATTTCATTGCCCCTGACCATCCCAACTAGACGGAGGTCCAAATCCGACAATATGACGCTATACTGCTAAAACTGTTCACCGCGGCCTTGCTGTGAGTGATGAATTCACTCGATTGGGACGAGAGAAGGATACGAGTTGATAGTTCCTTTTAAACTTGCGGACGACATCATTCTCTTTGCGAGGAGTATCACCGAAGCAGATACAATGCTGAAGGAACCAAACGAAACAAGGAAGAAGATCGAGTTCGGAATGAATCGGAGGAATACACAGTTTATGAAGAACGATTTTTTGCGGAAATAGTATCGGAAGGCAATCCTCGTTACAGAAACGTCTTCTTAAAAGCAGCGTCCAGGCACATATGAATAAGGGGGCTCTAACTAACAAGAAAACGATGTCCGGTGTCCTTGGCCTTTTGAGATGAGATGTATACCATTACACTCGTCTTGGAGGCTGATTCCGAATCAGACTTCCGTTTTTGCGGATAGTTTCTTTGAAAAAAGTTATGAAGGATTTTCGCGCGAAAGGAGATGTGGTCGGAATGCCAAAACCGTCGCTAAGGTAGTGTAGTGGCTAATGCGGTAACCTCGCAAGTTGATGCAGGATTAGGATCAGGTTCTTTTGTGTTTTTCAGTTTTGCATATCAAGCTTCTTTTTCAAAGTGAGGCAACGACCATACTATCCTCGACCATACTTCTCTTGGGCGACCATTGAGGCGAAAATCCTTCATAACTTCTTTTAGAAAAACGATTAGCAGAAATGAAAGTCAGATTCGGAATCAGCATTCCAAGACGAGCTGATGATATACGTTTTATTACAATAGCCCCGGACACCAAGTATCGCTTCCTTGTAAGGTAATGGGCAACGCAAATGATTCATTCACGGCTGAAACATCCACCCCAAACCCTTCGGGCACTGCCTTAGTTAGGATCCCCTCATCAACTTCCAGGCGAAAACCCATGTGGCCAGATTTGCCTGAACACTGCTTTAAGCGTATTTTGCTCGTTCAATGAACATGGAGAACACTTGAGGGATGAAGCTAACAGGAGAAGGAGTGCAGCCTGAGCCGTCTTCGGGCCTTTGAAGGAAGCCACCGACCAATTAACGGACCCGGCTTAGAGAGCCCATCTGCGTGGCTCAACCGTTCTCCCGGCGCTATGTTACACTGTGAGACTTGGGACGACACTGTGCTCACGTCAAAATCTCTACGGATTATCCTTAGAGTGTTGGAGCACGATTGAAGATGACCGAACAAAAACAGAGCGTTCTTCGCAGTACGGATATGAAAAAGCTGTCCCGTTATTGTGACCCAGCTTGGATTCTTCGCGAAGCAAAACGTCCCTTTTGAAGGCCACCAATGAGATGGGCAGACGTGTTCGTGGAACGGATGGACCAGTCCAGAAAATACCATCTCGCTCTTGGGACTAGTAGACGCAACCACCGACAACAACCGAAAAGATCGTGGATTCGTAAGCGAGGGAGGCTTTCGGAACCTTTTACGCTGGCCCCACGCCACATGAAGACGGGCCAGTCGAGCATTTGAGTAAGTGAAGTGGCCGAAAAGTGCATGTTTCAACTTTGGACTCCTCGGCGATGTTCACGCGCAAAGCTTGACGGCAGATGTCGACACTGCAGCATTATATGAATCGTCTGATCTATTAGCCTGCATATATTTCCAGCTCAAAATTTTTCGGCACTTCTCCGTTATCCAAACCCATTTTCTCGCGAAGTCTATGAATATGTGCATTAGTCTAAGAAAAAGAGTTTTGCAGTTTGAACTTTTGTTTTTTGGAATCACCGTTGTGATAAGCGAGCACTAAAAGACAGTGTTTGGACAAAAAGTGGAAATGGATCTCGTGCTTACCTGGGCCTATTCGCTATGCTGGATTCAAACTTTAATACTGAAGAGCGCAAAAAAGGTGAAAAGGGCTCTGATGAGGGAGAGAAAAGCAGATGGGCATGATCTCCACTTTGTGAGGTCCCTCTCCCAGCTTCAGAAGAGCTTCAGAAGGGGTGGCGATGTTAGGGCGGCTGACGGAAGCAAGAAGATCTCTCCGGAAGGGCGAATGACTTTAAGTGGAAGACCCTGCCGCTTAGAGCCTTTTTTTCGCCGTTTTCGCTCTCTCTAGAGTGAATTCGGATTCAGCAAAGCAAAAGGCCCAGAATCGACTCTATGCCCAGACACAGCCCTTCGAAAGGAAACATCCAAATCGTTAGCATCCAAATGTTATTCTGCTGTTTATAAGCGAAATAATACACAATGTTATTAACACATCTTGATCGTTTTCAGCGACTATTGAAAAATGAAATAGCGCTTGCAGCGTGCAACTCTGCGAAGAAACTCGAAATTTCGCAAACTGCCCCCAAAATTAAGCACAATTTCTGCGGAATTCGCAATCCCTTCTGAAGCTCTTCTGAATAAGGCCACAGCCGTGTACATTGTACAAGCCGACACAGAATGAAGAATTGAAGAGTTGAAAAAAGACAAAGATCATACAAAAGATTTTGAATGAGTGGAACAAGGTAGATTGGAGGAAAAACTCCAATTACCAAGATGCAGAAACAAACTCTATGTAGCAAATTTCTTTATGAGCGAAAGACTGCATGATGATGGACGGAAACAAGGCGCTCAAAGTCGTCCCAAAGTCCAAGAGAAAAGAGTTGTTTGATGAAACACATTCAGGTGCATTAGCAGGACACATGAATGCAAAGAAGTTGCACAGAAAGCCGAAAAAAGATCTTTTTTTAGAATGGAATGCGAAAGGATCTGGAAAAGTGGACAAAAACTTGTACAAGTGTTTTTTGACAAGAGTTTACGAAAAGAACATTCTTCCACTTCAAGGGTGTCCGGGCAAAAAGTCGATTTTGAGTTTTGTGCTTATCCGGGCTTCGCTATGCTGAATCCGAAAATCCACACTGGAGAGTGCGAAAACGGCGAAAAAGGCCTCTAACGCAGGACGGAAATCAAAATGGGCGGGGTCCTTCCCCACTGTGAATTTACGGTTCCAGCTCCCGGAGCGATTTTCTCGGTTTCGTTAGCCGCCCTGACACCTCCACAAGACAAGTGCAAATGAGTGACGTGAAATCGGAAGAGAAGATCGCTCCGAGAACTGGAACCGTAAATTCATAATGGGGGAGGACCCCGCCCACTTCTAATTTTTGTCCTGCGTTAGAAGCGGTTTTCGCCGTTTTCGCACTCTCCAGTGTGGATTTTCGGATTCAGCATAGCGAATAGGCCCGGATAAGCACAAAACCTCAAAATCGACTTTTTGCTCGGACACTGCCTCTAAGCCAATCGTAACCAACGCCGTTTGAGTTAGTAGGCATGGATTTGGTGGTGTTAGGACGTACAGAAAGGAGGAATAAGTACGCATTAGTAGTGATCGATCACTTCTCCGAATTTGTGGAAGCGTAACCATAGCAGACAAATAAGCTGAAGCAGTAGCGAGAACTTTCTTTGGAAGATGGGTATGCGAGGTTGCCGCTGGCCCAAAGTAATACACTCCGATCAAGGATCGGAGTTTGTAAACAATGTCCTGTCGGGAATCTGTGATATTCGTGGGTATAAACCAATCCGTGACTAAGATTTATAACCCACGGGAGAATGGTATCACAGAAAGAGTCATTGGTACGCTGACCAGGATGCTGAAGAAAAAGACAGTTGTACCCGGGAATGGAATAGATTGCTACCTATGGTGGTTTTTAAACTCATTTTCGCACGAAGTTACAAGTGAAAGACCCTTCTATGTACTACCCTAATTTCACGCGTACAAGGCGCGGGGTGGTCCTAGCTTTTATCGAGCTGCTCAGCCGCCCCAACGTGTCTTAAGAAGCGATCCTTATGCCGCACGATTCGTCAGGCAAAACGCAGCACGGTATGGGGTTCCTTTGGTTGCGAAGTCCTTTGCCGTGTCCGGGCTGGTCGATGAAAGCTAGGACCACCCCGCGCCTTGTACGCGTGAAATTAGGGTACATGCATTCGATCCCAGGTTCCCGTCTAGAGTAATCACCCAGGAAAAACTCTCACTCAATCATATAAATCTTAAAGATAATAAACATGAGCTTCTAGCTAGTAGAGATGATTCAGAAGTCGGTGGAGGAGCATAATTCAAAATGAGAGGTAAAATGAAGGAAAATACGATAAAAAAATTCAATGTGGGACGAAAAGGGTACCCAAGGATAGTAACAGAGTGTTTGTCAAGCTGCCGCGTAAAAGAAACTATGGAGAAATACCCTAAATTGTGTAATGAATGGAATAGTCCCTTTAGAATGTTAGAAATCAGTGAGAACTCAGCATTTTTATCGCGGTTGAAAGTAAGAATGAGCCTATCAGAGTCCAATATGATGTGCTGATAAAGGTACCGAGAGAAATAGATGATAAACAAATCCAAACAAAAAGGAGAGTAAAAAAGTTAACGTTTGCGGATAAAAAGATATCGTATTGGGTGCGGTAGCATATCTGAGCTCTAACCGCGAAGCTGCTTCAATAACTAATTAGGCAGCTGAAGCTCATGCACTACCATATCCAATACAGGGTCCGGCACAGATCGTATGGAAATGAGCTGGACTTCGTTTTTGGGACGAAAAAGCAAAAAGGATAATGTTTTTGTGGCCGAAAAACGCAAAAAAATTGCGACGTTCTTTGGCCGACGTTTCGTTTCTAAGGATTTCACAGATGTGGTTTTTGAAGAAAGTCAAAGGGGACTCTATCTTCAGAAAGCTTCATGCCGAGCCCTGATCCAATACAGTAGGATCGTCTAAGCAAAGTGAATATAAGATTTTCAAACGCGTGATATATGTTCACCTACGACGTAATTTCGACGATAGATGCGTAATTGCGTGAGCTCGTAACTAGACGATTGTTGTAGATTGGAGCCTGAGACATGCATCCTTCAATAGCACGGTTTTTAGTGATTTTGATGTAGAGGCAAGTAGGCAAATTTCTTAATAGATACGAAAAAGGTGCAACTGGATTTACGAACTTTCGTGGCTTAACTATAACTTTATTACCATATCTCTGCTAGAATACTCTGCACTCCGCAAAGACCGCGATTTTCGTAAACAGCATGTCCGAAAATCTCTATGAGCGAAGTTTTCTTTCGATCCAGGATTATCAATGTTTTGGCCAAAATCATCGGCGAGCTTCAAAAACGTAAATGAGAAGAAATCAAACACCCCAAACTTCTTCAAAAACTCTCTCATAGGGGGTATTTGACTTGCTGACTACGAATATCGTGTCTGCTTAGCAAGAGAGCTACTTCATATGGTGGTGAATAGAATTTGGGACGACATGCTTTTTCCAGGAATCACTAGCTCTTCTATCTCCTTTGTAAAAAAGTTTCCTGCTGCTTTTCAACGCTCGATGTTCTACGGAAACGACTTTATAGTGCTAAGTGAAGTCTTTCATGTACAATATGCGCTGCGTTACGTCCTCGTGAAAAGACGCCCCAGAAAAATTTGAGAAGCTGCAAACGGAATGTTAAGGGCAAGCTGTACCTAAGCACATTGCTTTTTTCGGGTTTGGAATACATCTGTTTTGAAGGAATTTCTAGCTCTGCATAATTTGCGTGATTCGTGTGATTCCGTGAAATTCCCGAAATGTGGCGAACTTCCGCAGATTTTCCGGAATTCCGCGACATTCACGGAAATTTTGCACTTTTGTGAGCGGTATTGTATATAACATTATCATGTTCACTCGTCCCTCAGTTATCTCCTTTGGGGAAATCTAATTTGTTATTTAAAGACAGCTTTGGAGAATAGAGACTGCATACTGCAAAGCAAAAAAGTTCTCTCGTACCTGCAGTTGACCAAAAAAACCACAGATTAGCAAAAAGAGGAAGCTGATTTATGGGGCTACTTGATGAGAAAATTTGCCTTTCTTACTTGTGCTGGTAGAGCGAAACATTGTAAGGACTGTAGTCTCCATATCGGACATCTGTACAGAGCTCGCTTCTGTAGTCATATGTGTAGTAGTGCGACGTCAGTCTGCGGCCGCTGACGATCTCCACACTCCGCTGGCACTCGGTATGTTCAAGCAGAGAAACACAACTTGTAGCACCTTGAGACTTCGAGAATTGTAACATGCTTTGAACTTCACTCGCACCCACACACCTGAGTATCTTTTACTAGAGCAGCTTACGAGGTCCTTAGGTTCATTATGAAATGATAGGATCCCAAAATGAACAACAGTCGCGTAAGAGTCCATCATGCTATACTGTGATGTCAAGAATGTCAAAATGCAGACCGCTGCCCCAAAGCCTAAAATAAAAGTTTCTAGAGAGTTTCTAATTTATCTCCGTTCGATCCACATGAAGTATGAGCGAAGTTGAAAAAAGACAGATACTTTGGCCCTTTTTTGTAATCTTCTTTTCTTCGCTCAATGACAACAATCTTGTTCTCCAAGCTTTTTACACTTTTGATCAGACGGATTAGAAAAGCATTGCTTGAAATTTTTGGGACATGTATATATTAGGTTGGCTCGAAAGTTCTGGCATTTTTAGACGAGATCTGCTATTTTTCGAGACTCAATGCATGTACGTTCGACAGAGGTACCGTTCGATAAAGCAAAGGAAGAAGCTCTATAAGAAGGTATGCAAAAGTTCGCACCAGCTTCGACCCAGCATAAGTTTGCATCCAAAATCTGAGTGATACTAAAGGGTCGAAAATTGGAAAAAATTCTTATCTTCATTCAAATAAATCCTACGGATCTCCAAGTTGCTCATACAGATTGCATACCACATCAGACACTCACATGTACCGTTTCTGTATTATTTTCTCATCTAAAATCGAGAAAACGTCAATTTTCACGTTTATACAAAAACGAAGCTAAGCTGTTTCCACTCATGTGATTGCATGATACAAGCCCTTAAAAGTATAACGGTAAATTCTTAGCTTTCTACGGGCTCTAGATTTCGAAAACTGTTGATTTTAGAATGGAACACCCTAGTGAGGAGAGTTCGGTTCGGTAATTTTCGGAAACTAGAGCCTTCAGAAAGCTGAAAATTAACGCTTATACTTCTAAGTACTTGTACTATACAATCACGTGAGTGGGAGTAGCGTAGCTTCGTTTTTGTATAAACATGAAAATTTACGTTTTCTTGATTTCTAGATGAGGAAAAATTACAGCAATGATACAAACGGGTTTCTGATGTGGTATGTAATGTACATGAGCAACTTGGAGATCCGTAGGATTTATTTGAACAAAAATATGAATTTTTCCTAATATCCAAGCCTCCAGTACTACTCAAATTCTGGATGCAAACTTACGCTGGGTTGAAGCTGGTGCGAACTTTTGCATTCCCTCTTGTAGAGCTTGCTTTGCTCTATCAAATGGTACCTCTGTCGAATGTTCATGTATTAAGTTTCGAGAAATGGCAGATCTCGTCTAAAAATGACCCAGAACTTTCGAGCCAACCTAATATACAGGGTGTCCCAAAAAGATGTGCACACTGTTTGATTGTAAATAACTCTCTTGTAGTGAAGTGAAGAAAAGAAGAGCTCCGAAGAGAAGCTTTGGGTACCATCTTGTAGAGCTAGGTTCAACTTAGATTTACAGCGTAGAGCGAATCGCCCTTCATTCATTCTTACTGTAGGAGCACGGAAGAAACTTCAGACATATGGTGTCACCGTGAAAAAAGGGGCCGTTTCAAAAATTTTCAAAAAAATGTGGAAATTTGTGTAATAGGGTTTTTATGGACCCTGAGTTTAATACCCAACTCCTTACAAGGTTGAGAGGTTTTCTAAACGGTGTAACCGCACTTTTTAGGAGCACTTAAAAAACGTCTGCTACTGCTTACCTCGCATAATTTTTTAATGAAGCATTAGGAAGAGTTGCGAACTTCACATTTAGAATCAACAACTCTAGTTAGTCCAGCGTGAGAGTTTTCAGTTTGTTTTGTTTTCTTTTTGGAACAAAATATGGCCTTTCATGGCTCAAAACCCTCTTAAAGGTTTCTACCGCAATCCTACAGTAAGAATGAGAGATCGGCAATCCGCTCTACACTGTAAATCTAAGTTGAACCTCGCTCTACAAAATGGTACCTAAAGCTTCTCGAAATACTTCACCACAAGAGAGTTATTTACAATCAAACAGTGTGCACATTTTTTTGGGACACCCTGTATATGTGTCATCCTTTTAGTCAATTCAAATTTAAGCTTCTTTTCAATCCAGCTGGTGAAAAGCCACGATAGTTTTTCCTGAAGACCTGTCAAATGATCCAAGACCATTGCGGGCAGCATTAAAAAGGCACGCACATCCTTGAAGGCAGCGTCCGAACAAAATTTCGAGTAGAATTTTCTTCGCTTTCCTGGGCTTATTCCTCCCGCTGATTCTGAAAATGCAGCTTGGAGAGCGCGAAGGACGCCCAAAACGGGCTTTTCCGAAAGCTCTCGATTTGAATTCTGTCTCCTGCCAAGGTTCTTTGTGGGACCCTAGTCTTGACTATGTGCGGTATGCGTACTCTGGCTTATCGAGCTAGCTCGTGCCGGTCGACGCGTTCCGGTCGCCAATTCTGAAGCGGATTTCTCGCTTCAGAAAGCAAGTTGGTGTATTGTCAGTCGGGCAAAAGCGTAACCAGGACGGTCCCTGCCCTCTACATTTTCGTATCTGCCCGGACGCTGCCTTTAAGAGACCGTAGAGTTTGCGCGTACAGTGCCATATGTAAATTATGGTGCATCCCCCAGGATGTCCCCATATGACAAATTCGAATAAGCGCCTTGAGTTTGTGTTAATGTGTTAAAATGATCGAAAGGCAGCCACGTTGATAGTTCATATGGGAACAATTCTGGTGAATGCACGATATGTCTCAGCTAGAATCAGTTGTTTAGAACTTGAACTGTTTAGTGAAATTACAAGCATTTTTTTCGCGTCACATACATATGGAACACCCTCTATTTCAGAGCTTGTCTACATCACAATATACTCCTCTTCTATACATTGTTACGTTTAGACTGACCTTCATAGGCTCTGCCATAACTTCGATACACTCTGCACACGCCACTTTGGTGGCGTTGCCCTACAAATAATTCCAAATGAAGTATTGGAAAAAGACATGTGAAAGTCGCCAATAAATAAATAATTACGAAGAAAGCTGAAATTTTTCTGGAGAGCAGACATGCAAAATGTACTAATAATTGCTCTTACCACCGCCATTAGCCATAGTTTCTGCTGGAAAGTTCCACACTGAAGAATAACTCAGGACAAGACCACAGAATGTGAGTATATCCACATATTCACTTATGTTATCAGGTTCATTTTCTGAAACACTTCCCATGTTTAGAGAAAAGAGCCTTTACGTTGGCACTTAATTTTCTATGGCGCTATTACTCAGACAATCGCCGGGGGCAGACACCGGAAAAATAGATTGCTGATTTCTCGCACCCCGCTCGCGGATTTTTTTGGAAAGCAATCAGAACTTTTCGGGAGACCGCTTGCTGAGTCAGCGGGTTTTTGAGAGACCGCCTGTTGAATTTTTTTTCGCTCTTATCTTTTGCAGATATATTGCTGAATCTCTGGGAAATCGAGAACTCAGCAAGCGGTCTTCCGAAAAGTCCTGATTGCTTTCCAAAAAATCCGCGAGCCTGGTGCGAGAAATCAGCAATATATTTTTCCGGTCCCCGTCTGCCCCCGGCGATTGTCTGAGTAGGTATGTTTTTAATAAAAATACGTGAAATCTCAGGATATCGAAATTATTGATGAACTATTGTTCGCGTGAGGTTCATCGAAAAATTTACAGCCTACACACTCCGTGTGCCTGTCGAAAACAGGCAAATGGATTGTGTAGGTTGTAAGTTTTTCGTTCTGGCAAGTCCTGACAGTGTTATGGTAGATCCTCAGTATAAGCTTACGACGTTTTCATCGAGTTTTCAAAAGGATAGACGACTAATCGATTTCAGCAATCTTTTATAAATTCTGAGCTACGGGGTTGGGAGTTGGGACAAGGGGTAAGTGAGCATGCCGATCACAAATCCAGGGTGTCCCAAAAGTATGTATGCACTGTTTGAACGTTAATATCTCTCTTCCCAAAGAGTCTTTCGCCTTGCTTTAGATACCATTTTGTAGAGATGGCTTCAACTTAGATTTTCAGCATAGAACGAGTCACCCATCTCTCTTCGTTACTGTAGGATTACGGTAGAAACTTCAAAGAGGGTTTTGAGCCATGAAAGGCCATATTTTGCCTCAGAAAGGAAACAAAACAGCCTGAAAACTTTAACACTAGGCCAATTAGAGTTTCTAATTCTAACTGTAAAGCTCCCAACTTATTATGATGCTTCACTGAAGAGTTATGCGAGGTAGGCAGTAGCGGCCATTTCTCTTCAGTGCTCCTAAAGGATGCGGTTACACCGTTTAGAAAGCTTCGCAATCTTATGGTTGAGTATTAAACTCAGCATCCATAAATCCCTATTGCACAAGTTTTCACATTTTTGGAAAATTTCGGAATGGCAGCTTTTTCCACATTGACACCATATGTTTCAAGTTTCTACCGTAATCCTACAGTAACGAAAAGAGATGGGTGACTTACTTTATACTGAAAATCGAAGTTGAAGCCAGCTCTACAAATAGTACCTAAAGCAAGGCGAAAGACTCCTTGGGAAGAGAGATATTAACGATCAGACAGTGCATACATACTTTTGGGACACCCTGTACCATCTGTATAAATGACATTACTTTTGTTGTTGGAACTTTGAGCTAAGGGGAGGTGGGAGTTGACACAGGAGGTAGTGAGCACGGTGATAACAAGTACAATGACCATTCAAAGAATACTTGTTACTTCGGTCGGTTTTATCGATTATTTGCAACTCTAAACTAGTGAGGTGGCAGTTGGGACTAGGGGGGGGGCTGATGGGCATGGTGAATACGTACTCGTTGAGAATTCTTCTTTTATCTATCTCGAGTCATGGACAAGCTCCACGTTGACATAGTGGGCAGTAGATTGTTCAAGAAAGTCATCTCCCGCTTTTCGGGCAAAATTTGAGAAAGTCTGTGAAAGAATTTAGGAGAACAAATGCTCTAAAGAATTTTCGTTTTTCTCTCCAGAAGTTGAGAGTATGAGCACGCATGGTCATGTTGGAGGCAGTGTCAGACTGAGGAGGGAGGGGCGACCTCCCCATCCCCAACAAATAGGCCGCGAAATTTTTGGAATTTGTTTACATGGGTTATAGAAATATGCAAGTGATTTGTCTACTCTTGCAAATGATAACAATAATTTTCAAAATTTTCCAAAATTCAAATGAGCCTTGTAAAAAAATGTTTGAAAAAAGGGGTGGATGGAAATTTTTGGGTAAAAATCCAGAAGAGGATGCGTGGCTGATGCCGCGCCCTCTTTTCATTTTAGGGGTTATGGGCGCACAAAAGAGAAGCAGCCTAAGAATTGTTTTCGGAGTTCGTGGCTGACGCCACGCACCTTCAAAAAATTTTTTGCCCCTCCCCCCCCCCTCCGTTGGACGGAAATTCCGGCCACCAGTTGGAGAAACTGCAACGTTCCGCATTGCAGAAACACGATTTGGAGAAATTTGAGAAGACCTCTGAAAAACTCAGTTTAGAGAGCAACTGCTTTGCAAAGATGTAATTTTTCTTCCAAATTGTGAGCAAGAGTGATGTTGTCGGAGGAAATAATTGCTCAACAAAAGTATTCTCTTCATTGAAAAGGTGGAGCGTGTGAGCAAGAGTGATATAATGGGAGAAAATTCGAAATATCATTTACTTTCTGGCCAGTTTTGAGGAAATCTCCGAAAATATCGAGTTTTCGAAGCGACTGTTCTGCGAAAATTTCATTTTTCTTTCAAAAGATGAGCGTGTGAGCACGAGTGACAATGTGGAGGAAACTATGTTGTCTTCCGCTACACTAGTTTAAAGAGGTATCATCCACTTTCCTGCCAAACTTTGAAAATCTTTGAAAATCTCGCTTTTGAGTGAATTGCAACACATAGGCTGATGAATTAGAAAATCACTTGAAGACCTATGTAGGTATGTATGTCTGCCTCTCTCTCTGAGTGTACGCATGTTCCGAATGGAATTCCATTACCAAACCGATCCACACCAAATTTTACATACATGCACTTCGGCGCAAGGCGGGTGTGGTAGTCTCCATTTTATCGATATTTATCGATCTGCAAAGTTTGCGGTACGGAGCTAGGATTTGCTACAGAAAAGTAAATAAGCATGCTGATTACGAAAAAACAATCAGCAGGCGCTTGGTTGAGACGTGACTCTGCACTAGGTTTTCATTCATTGGCTTACAAAAGTTTGGTTACGTGGAATATTCAGCTTTGGAGGCGTAGACAAGATTAACGAAGTTTTTCATTGAAATAAAGAGGAAGTATAACATTTTGCTATAGCTCGCTATCTTGTTTAAGTAGTAACGACCAACAACCACTTCTTAGACAGGGGAGCCAAGAGAGTTCCAGATTTGTGCTGCTAACGAGACCACCGTTTGTTTGCAAGGTCTTCTTCTCGAGACAAAAGTGCATTTTCTGCAGTATAAACTTGAATTTTGAGTTTTTTTTCTACAAATTTCCATAGAAAACAAGAAGCGTTTAAAAAAATACTTGGTCCTCAAATCTCTAATTTTCATACCAGTGAAAAACCAATTTGCTTGCAGTATTCTCTTCGAAGAAGAGAATACTGCAAGCAAGAGAAAGAAGTGCATCTCCTGTGGTGTGATGCTTCCCAATCTGGGATTTTCACGAATTTTCATGGATTCAATGAAATGTGCTCAAAAGAATACTTGGCCCTCAAAACTCTGACATTCATGCCAATGAGACCACTATTTGCCTGCAAATTTTGTTATTTGGAAAGAAGTGCGTCTCCTGCCAGGGCGCGGCACAGATCGTTTGGAAGCAGGCTGGACTTCGTTTTTGAAGCAAACAGCAAAGGGGATATCGTTTTTGACGAGTCGAAACCGAGCACCAAGAATTAGTCGAACACAAGCTTTTCGCCCAGGTCATCACACGATTGACATGCTCTATCGTGTATGGCGAAAAGTGCGCGCGATTTGAAAGCAAGGCTAAAATAAACAAATTGCTTGTTTACAGCGCACACAGAATCTCATGACATCAAAATTGAACTGTACACATAGAAGATTATTTGCAAAAGAGTTATGCAAAAAAAAAATTCAAAACTTATATGAAGTAAAATTGTAAAAATGTTGTGTAGTAAAATCAGCGTGCGCGAAAACCCTAGAACACGATTTTTCAGATTTTTTGAAAAAATTTTTGTCAGAGGGCATACTTCGCGACGGTTCCACATGCTGGAATTCCTTACCGTAATCCTACAGTAAAGAACAGCAAAGGGTGATTCCCTCCATACTGTGCATCTAAGTTGAAACTCGCTCTACAGAATGGCACGACAAGCTCGGCGAAAGATTTGAACGCGAGAGGGTTATTAACGATCAAACAGTATTAACATTTTTTTTGGGACACCCTGTATATTAGGTTGTAACAGAATTAATGCAGGTTTTTGAATTCCAACCGCAATAACTCATACACTTCTCATTTCTAAGTAGGTTGCAAAACACCATTCGCTAGAGCAAAGCAATCTCTACAAGGTGGCAATCTTGCTTTAGCAACAACTCTGATCCACCACGAGTTTCGAGCCAAAAACTAAAAAGATTCAACTGTCCGAAAAATTGAGAGAAATCGTAACTCAGTTCCTAAAAAACCTACAAAAATTCTAACTTGCTCACGTAAACACTATTCACATAAGACATCTTTATACGCCTTTGCCGTATTTTTTTCTCTGTTAGAAATCAAGTAAACAGAAATTTTCGTGCATCTGCCAAAGTATTGCTGTGCCATTCCCACATAAGTAGCTGTATACTGCAAATTTGTAGAAGTACAAACTTAAATTTTCAGTTCTCTACAAGCTTTAGTTCTCGAGAATTCTGAATTTTAGCTTGGACCATCTAACTAGGGAAAACTATATTCGATATAACTCGAGAACTAAAGCTTGTAGAAAGCTGAAAATTTGCGTTAGTACTTCTATAGGTCTGTAGTATACAGCTACCTAGATGCAAAGGCACAGCATCATTTTGGCAAACGCACGAAAATTTCCGTTTTCTTGATTTTGCAAGTTAGAATTTTTGTAGGTTTCTTAGGAACTGAGTTACGATCTCTCTCAATTTTTTGGACAGTTGAATCTTTTTAGTTTTTGGCTCGAAAATCGTGGTGGATCAGAGTTGTTGCTAAAGCAAGATCGTCACCTTGTAGAAATTGCTTTGCTCTATCGAATGGTGTTTTGCAACCTACTTAGAAATGAGAAGTGTATGAGTTATTG